TTCAAGAATCGTTGATAATTGAATCCCCTAAGTTGTGCGCAGGACTACAGGTTTCAAGAATCGTTGATAATTGAATCCCCTAAGTTGTGCGCAGGACTACAGGTTTCAAGAATCGTTGATAATTGAATCCCCTAAGTTGTGCGCAGGACTACAGGTTTCAAGAATCGTTGATAATTGAATCCCCTAAGTTGTGCGCAGGACTACAGGTTTCAAGAGATATGAGTATTTTTAAAACTTATACTGCTTTCAATAAAAGATAATAATTGAAAATAGAAGTTTATGTTTGGTATATTACATGCCTTTAAAATTGGTTTTATATATCACATCCATGTTTTTGTAAAGTTTAAAAAACTTTTTTATTTATTTTACGTGTCATGAGTTACATTCTTGAAATAAAGTTTTCAGTGTTAAACACGCTCTAAGTGGAAAACCCTCAAAATCGAACGTTTTCAATAAGCAGCTTTTTGTAGAGAAATTAGGAAAATAACTATCTTAACTCTGATTATATTAAACACTTTACTGTGAGTTTTACAAACTTTGATTAACGGTATATTGTTACTTTATTAGAAAACACTTTAGTTAGAAGACATTTACACTATTTGCTTTAATACGAGAAATAATGCACTACTTATTGAAGAGATACAAACTTAAAAATACTTACTTGCCCAACTGGTATAAACACTGGAAAGAATTTGTACAACCACCGGTAAAAATTCTAATTTATATAACTTTACGTACACCATTGTTGTTAAGGTCCCTCAATTGCTTTTATAACTCAAAAACCGAATATATTTTTTAAAATGTAAAACAAATCTCATTTCACATTCCTGGATTGTGCGTTAAGTTTATTTTACTTATAATCTCAAAGTAAAAGCTAAGTTTAGCTAAAGAACTTTTGTCCGTTACAACCAGAGCATCCCAGCGAATCGAATATAAGATATCGACTGAGGGAATTCCATTTCAGACTGATCATCTGCCAGCAGTCTGGCGGGATGCCAGAGATAGAAGCAAGGCGACACCTATGAAAACCCATAAGAATTGGCGTCAGTCGTTAAAATCCCACAAGGTGGTAATCTCGTCGAAACAAATACGAAGTTATATTTGCGTATTTTCTCGGGTTTCCTTTTCTACTGATTTTACAAAAACGTCATGCTATTTCTGTATGCTGCTGGTTTAACACGGTAATGTTACTCTCTGCAAAAATGTAAAAAAGTTTTAACCCTGAAACGTATCAAAAATTACTCCGAATAGTATTTTGCTATGAGTAGTGACATACAATAATCACTATAACATCTTGTGACTGTTTTGTTCGCATATTTTTAATAAGAAAAAAAAATAATTCGGTTTCTTAAATCAAATAACACGAACTAAATAATATATATACATGTATAACAACACACTATAATACTTGAACTCAGGTATATTTGATATTCTTTATATTTGAGTATATTTTAATGTATTGAATATCATATCTGTACATTTGAAAAATACTTACTTATGTTTAGTTGAAAAATGGTACTTTTTTACTATAAATTATCTGCAAGTTGCACCCTGAAGAGTTGTATTTGAAATCACAAAACCGATAGAAAATAATAAAGGAAAGAAAAAGTAGAAGACTCCATGTATTGTGGTATTTTACTATTTGTATCCACAGGCGAAATCTTGTATGTGGTTTGGTTATATATATATGTGTCCACGTGTGTATATCTTTTACGGTAGTGTATTCTGGATACGCATGATTTATTTGGTATTACCTACAAGAGCTATTAGAATCCGTAAATATAATTCTCTGTATAAATAGAATTGTTCGTGATCTATAAGGCTGCGGTCATTCAGGCGTCTTTTGTAATTTTTCTAGTAGAATGACTATAATAAAAGCAATATTGGTTACTCCATGAAAATCGTTAAAATACTTTTACTTTTTAACTGTCATAATAACAAGTAGTTAACGAACTGTGTTCGATCAATGAAGTTTCTTATTTTGAAATCAGCTATTTCAATCATTCCAATTTTCAAAATGAATGAACTCAACTACTTACTAACCCTGCTAAAAGCTTAGTTAATTACAAAAAAATCTAGCTCTTTTTTTTCTCCATGCAAGCAGAGCTCACTGTCTGTGAATTCTTTAACAATAAGTGATAATTAGATTACGTTGAAAATTTTGATATACTTCTATTTAAGACCTTATACAGGTTACACATGAGAATTTACCCAGGAGTTATATATTTAGGTACTTCTAAAGACTTCCTGTAGTGGAAAGGAATTTGTAATTGTCATTGGCACTTGCTTATAACCATTGACTAAGGGAAATGCCTAAATTAATGTATAAAGACTTCCCGTAGTAGAAAAGAATTTGCAATTGTCATTGGCAATTACTTATAACCATTGACTAAGGGAAATGCTTAAATTAATGTATAAAGACTTCCCGTAGTGGAAAGGAATTTGTAATTGTCATTGGCACTTGCTTATAACCATTGACTAAGGGAAATGCCTAAATTAATGTATAAAGACTTCCCGTAGTGGAAAGGAATTTATAATTGTCATTTGCTTATAACCATTGACTAAGGGAAATGCCTAAATTAATGTATAAAGACTTTCCGTAGTGGAAAGGAATTTGTAATTGTCATTGGCATTTGCTTATAACCATTGACAAAGAGAAATGGTTATATTAATGAGAAGAAGATAGAATAACATTAATATATGAATATATATAGTAGAGACCTCTGATATGGGTATTAAAAACCTTTATTTAAAACACGAAACAAGTTCCTCGACATTATGCGTTTATATATACAGTTCTCAATAACCGTTGCTTCTTATTTGATTCAAACATATACACTACATGATGTAAACGTTTTTGTTGAATAAGATAGAATGTAGAATACTTTCCTTTCCCATAAATAATTTGAATGCCGTAACTGTTCAGTGCACGAGGGCAAGAAACTAATATTTGAACTTACATTTCAAAATATGTTAATATCAGATATTGTACTCGTTACGCTTTACACTAGTAATATTCTGAGCACCAGTAATGAAACTTCGTTACTGAGGGGAGTAAAACGTAATGTGCTGACAAAAACATGGTTCGCTAGCATGTACTAATTTGTTTTATATACTTTTTAGATACTATTTGGGTTTATACATCTATAAAACAAACCCATATTGTGAATATATTTCTGTCTTATTTACCTCATACTATATTACTATTAAAATAGAAATGAACTTGATATAATCCATCTATAAGAAAATAATCTACTGGTTGATTACAATATTACGCATACATTGGTGTGAATATTAAAATATTCCATATAATGCTCTACTTTGTATATTCGTTTATAAGTGAAAGAGGAGTATAATATATAAAGTTTTGTTTTAACGGTTTAATATCTGTTATTTATGTATCTGACTACAAGAAATAGGAGAATACCAATTCTGCGTTAAGTATTAAAAATGCATTTATTTGATTTTTATAAAGACTGTTTTATGTTATTTTATTTAATTAGTAGGGTTTATAGTACACACAGTTAAATTTACTCATATTATAAATATTAACTGTAAACATTACAAAACTGCAAATACTGTGAGCGGTTTTAAAGTGTTTAAGAGTGGTGTGACGAATTTACTATCTTATATCTATTTCAATAACGATGTGGCCTGGCATGGACAGGTGGTTAAGGCACCCGACTCACAACCTGAAGGTCGCGGGTTCGAATCCCTGTCACATCAAACATGCTCGCCCTTTCCGCCGTGGGGGCGTTATAAGGTGACGGTCAATCCCACTATTCGTTGGTAAAAGAGTAGCCCAAGAGTTGGCGGTGGGTGGTGATGACTAGCTGCCTTCCCTCTAGTCTTACACTGTTGAATTAGGGACGGCTACCGCAGATAGCTATCGTGTAGCTTTGCGCGAAATTCAAAAACAAACAATAACGATGTTTGTTTAAGTTAAATTTATAGTTACAAATGTGCATAATTTATATTGTTAAATCTGTGTGACGAAATTCCCGTCTATTCACTAAAATTGTAGAAAATTCTTGAGTATAACAATCAACAATATATGTGTGTACGTAAACACTGATGTATCGTTTATATTGTTGAGTAATCTGAATTTCGAGAAACAAAGAACAGTATATATTAATGGTTTGCTATAGTTGACGTGCTATAAACCTCGGAAGCTATAACTTATTAATCGGGAACTTCAGACATTTGACCAGAAACGTTTATAGATTTCGAATATTACAGACCATTTAATTTCAGTGGATTCGCATCGGACATTAGTACATTGTATAACTTCAGCGGTGTATAACTCTGAACAAGAACGAAAAACATAGAGCTAGCTAGCTCCCTGTTAAGTGAATATTATCTATATCAACTCAAAATTAATTCGCTCATCGTGAACCCTCGATAAGATATCAAGCAAGTTCCAGACCAGATAGAGGAATGAATATTGTTTGTAAGTTTGTAAAACGTTTGTACAAAGATCATTATTTGTAATAACCGTTATTGTACATTGTGTTATTGTTTGTATATTAAAATGTATTTGTATTAAAAAACTGTGTGTATCAATCTTGTTCGCAAGTATCATAAATTGGATACATATCGACATTTATTTAATTTCTAAATCTAAATTATCATTTGACTATTCTAAATTATAATACGTTACGTAATAAATTAGAGGCTCGTCTGGGATAAATCATATTACGTAACAGTGCAATCACCGCGTGTTTTTAAAAACAGAACTTGGGTGTCATCTTCAGAACACTGAAGTCAAATATTCTCTTTTTCGTCATATGTATGATATATCATAAGGGAAGCTATAAAAAAGAAACACTTAATGGGTCGTGATTTAAACATTGAAAATGAATTACTTGTTCTACTATACCTTATCCTCTATTAAAATTCATAATACGACATGGCATAGAATCCACAAGATACTATAAGGTGTCCAGAGGGTTTTTTCTTTTCATTTGTCGTTAATATTATTCGCAATTCAAGGAGGGAATAATAGGCAGAGGATAATGAGGTGAAATGTGCATTTCAAGTCTTTTCCAAAGATGATCAAATAGACTAAGATCTGGGAAATGTGGTGGACATAAGAAATACCTAACGTCTCCGTCATGTTCCTCAAACCATGCATGCATAATTTGGGCACATTGAAAGGAATTATTGTCATCTTGGAAGTAGTTCTCACCCTCAGGATAATACATATGAAGCATCGCTGAATGAACTTAATCAGAAATGATATTGAGGTAAGCTGTGGCATTCATTCTATCTTCTAAAAGGACCAAGAAGTCCAGTGTATGCCAGAAAAACATTCCTTAAACCATGACTCCACCACCAGAGGCTTGGACATTTAGGACTACACAAGAGGGGTAGCCCCGTGGTTTATGCAATGGTCTCCCATTGCCATAGTCAGTTTGCTTCAACGATTGGACTTTACCATCCTGTATAACCAGCTTTCGTTTGTTTATTTATCTTTCCTCTATTAGACTGGCTGTAAATGTGCTGGTCACAATACTTTTAGTACTTAAGGGATCATTTAACACATCTTGTAATCAATCTAATTTGCATCTTCAGTTCTAGTCAAACTCAAGTCCGAAAAGGGACATTGTAAAGTGACAAGACCAGTAATTCAATCAGAATAAAAACATCAACCTAAAATTATGAATGTATGGTTCAATAACTCTTAATAAAAGAAAGCAGGATCGGGTGTGGCCATGTGGTTAATGTACTAAACTATGAATCAGAGGTTCCATGATATGCGTCCCGTTGCCGCATAATCGCTCTTTGCACATTAATACAAAAGTGATCGTCACATCTCATTATTGTGTTTGACAAGAGAAGCCCAAGAGTCCCTGGTGAGTGTTTTGACTAGCCCTCTTCCCTGTAGTTTGTCAGTTTAAAATTAGGGACGGCTA